CTGAGGGCCAGCATCACATCACTGCCGCATGCATTGCAAAGTGACAACATGCCATGGCGTGGCCGGAGAGGGGCTGTTATCCTGTTGATACTGATACCTGTGCCAAGCAGTTTTCTTCCTCTGGGGGTGGGAGATCACCTCTACCAGTGGTCCCACGTCTGTGGCTTCCCCAGGCTCATGCCAGTGGCAGGGTTTACTTGCTAGTACGCAGCGTTGATTGTGCCAGCCATTAATCCTGCCCATCTGCCAGGCAGCACTGGTAGTGCGCAATGCTCCCGTCTCCGGCTCTCCCTCCAGTGGCAGTCCAGGATGGACGTGCTGCTCACACCCACACATCACCTTGTACCTGTTGCCTGTGAATTTGGTGCTGCTGAAAAGTGCTGGATCAATGGAGGCTTCTGTTAGCCTCCAGGACTGAGATGGCCCAGGCAGAGTGGGGCAAGCTTCCCTCACACTGCCCTCCGCACTGCACCCCGCAGCCCTGGACGAGAAAGGAGCAGTCTTGAACTTTGCTGGGTAGCCCAGGCGGCTAGTGCCCCTCACACGGGTGGCTGCTGTAATGTGGACACCTGGCCCCAGGTTACCATGCTCAAGTCCAGCAACTCAATTCCCAAAGGCCAGCAGCTGGCCCTCCAATGGCCCAGGCTGTCAGTCACCCCTGCCCTGTTCTGAGCGGGATGTCTCTGCAGGTAAAGTCCGGCAGGAATTAGCAGGGATCTCCAGGATGGATCTCCTCATCTTTGGAAAGCGGAGAGAGCAGAAATAAATTCCAGTGTCCAGCACAGAGGAGGGCAAGGGTGGGAGCAGCGAGTGAAATACAGTGCAACAGGATATTTCCCTTGGGCTTTGCTTACCTTGTTATTTCCCTTCCACTTCCATCTCCTGAACTTCTTGAGCCCTGGAGAGTATCCTTCTGCATTTTTATGAGAGTCGACTGCCTGGAACGGTGCTGCTCCCCAGACAAATGGGGCAGCATGAGGAATCTCACACTGTGGGCTGTGAGATTTACTCAAACATGAACCTCTGTTAAATAAAAAGAAAAGGAATACTTGTGGCACCTTAGAGACTAACCAATTTATTTGAGCATAAGCGTTCGTGAGCTACAGCTCACTTCATCCGATGAAGTGAGCTGTAGCTCACGAAAGCTCATGCTCAGATAAATTGGTTAGTCTCTAAGGTGCCACAAGTCCTCCTTTTCTTTGTACTTGTAGAGTTAACACGGCACCACTCCCTTCCTATGGATGCAGGTATACTGGTACAGAGGTGCTTCATGTTGGCATTGCTACTCCTGTATAGGAAGGGGAATGACTGTACCAACGTAAGGCAGCTTGATAGTAGAATAACTGCATCCATTCAAGGTCTTGTGCCACTAACTGTTTTGGCAAAAAATCACCCCCTTACTGAAAGAGTTATATCAATCCAACAACTGTGTGCAAGCCAGGCCTTTCGCCCTCAGCATCACCATTCCCCTGTCTGCCAGGCTCGTTCTCATTAAATGTTCGGCCTCAGTGTTGCATTAGACACAGAAGCCAGGTTGGTGCCCCCACCATGCATTGTTCCCACTGCGTTGCCAAGGTGGAGTGTTTTGCTGACAGTTTCTGCAGTTCAGGGTGTGCTTTAATGTAGACAACAAATGCGCTGGGGCTGAACTAACATTGCTCTGGGAACCTTTAACTTCTGAACATCCTGAGTTGTGGGTGTTTCCGCGCCCTGCCTTAGCCATGCATTCATTGAATATTACAAGAGACGCAGTAGTAGTGCTCAGGGCCAACACAGTTAGTGCTGTTCCACCCCACTGCCAGCTGCTAACAGAGCCTGTCCCCACTTCCTCTGCCTAGCATCGGCCCCGCCCTGGCTTTGGAGAGGTGAATCCCTGCACATGTGCCTTTCCATTGGCAGCAGGCCTGATTCTCCACTGCTCTGCACCTTCTGTCGGCATTTGTACCTGTGCAAAATCCTGGCATTCTGATTCAGTACTGGTGCAAAGGACAATGCCTGGTGCTGGCTATAGTGAATGAGGCCCAGTGATTGGAGCCAGGGACCCCTGAGCTCTGTTGCCAGCTCTGTGGCAGAGCAGCTGTGCAATCCTGGGAGAGTCACCACCTCTGTTTCAGTTTCCCCATTTATTTAATGGGATAAGACCTGCCTCATGCTGGGCTGTGGCAAGACCTGTTTGTAAAGTAAGCTGCAATTCATCTCCCACTCGCCCTTCCCCAACCTTTGGCTGAGGGCTTGTCTACAAGCAGTTTAACTAAAGGCATGGTTTTAAACCAGTGCAAAGGCTGTGTGGACTCTATTATTTCAGTTTAAAGCAGGCTTGGCTTATTGTGGTTTAGTTTAAGTCCATTGGGACAGGCTTAAGCTAAAAGAAAATAAGCCACTCAAACCTAATAAGAGGGCCCACACAGGGTTTGCAACAATTTAACCAGACTGCTTCAAATGAATCAGTGCAGGTTTGTGTGTAGACAAGGCAGGAGGGCTCAGCTCCTGCAAGTGCCCACGCAATTCTAATTGTTTGATGATTTTGGGGGGACATTTTCAGTTGATTTCTGTTTGAAAATGTAAAAAGAAACTTAAAAAGCCATGTTATAAAGCGGTCCAAACCCAACGGTAATGTTTTCAGACCAGGGGAAGGACAAGCAGGTGGAGCCAACATGGGGTGACCAGCTAGCACCCCACAGCCTGCCAGCAAGGGGGTGGGGAGCACTGCTTGGGAGCCAGGGCGCAAGCACATGGCTGGGGCAGGGTCCCTGCAGTGGCAGCATACAGCCCGCGCTGGGAGGAGCAGGCTCGGGAGTGCCCCAAGAGACGAATACGTTTTCCTTGTAAAGGCTCTTCTGATCCTAATGAATAGCCCATTAGCCAGATGTCAATCAGAGCCTGCCAGAAGCCTGGACTCCATCCAGCCCATTGATTTTGGCCGTGGGCTCTCCTTCAGAAAGTTTCTCTCAGTCAGATTCAGAGGCAGGAGCGGTGAGGGTGTTGTACCAAACACCGCGGCTGCCCTCTAGTGCCCCGCTGCACACCACACAGAGCTGCACTCCTGGTTCCTTACCTGGCACCTGCCCATCATGTTCTAGCTCACACAAGGTGGGCGAAGCACCAGGCTGACTGTGCAGTCGTGATGGTGCGTTCACCACAGAGGCGCTCTGGAGCTACGTGGGGTGAAGACGCACAGCCCCGGAAGGTCTGAGGAAGAATGAGGAGACCCCATTAAAGCCAGAGGCAAGTCTCAGAGAGCACGTCTACACGGCAGCCGGGACACACGGACTCAGGCTCGCTCTACGCAAGCCAGCATGCTAACAATAGCAGTGTAGACGTTACGGCTCAGGTGGCCGCTCAGGCGAGCTGCTTGAGTCCAAGCTCATCCGAACACGTGGGTCCAAACTCAGGGGGCCAGCTCCAGCCCCAACAACAACGTCACGCTGCTATTTTTAGCGTGCTTGCTCGAGTGGAGCTAGCATGAACCTGCCTACCCAGGCTCGGAGGCTGCTCCCAGCTGCAGCGTGGCCAGGGGGTAACAAGAAAAAGCCCTGCGAGAGCCATTACCGCTATAAGCCCAGCTCTTTATGGGTAAAGATCACAGGTCAGGATTTGACTGGGGCACTCGGCAGCTCTGAAAATCAGGCCACTCCTTTGGGTGCCCTGGCTTCAGGCACACCAGCTGCAAAATGCTGGTAAGAATCGGCCCCTCTCTCCTTGGGCGTGTTAGGTGAGCCGAGCGTACGCTGGGGCAGGCCCAGAGACAATCCCAGACACACAATTTAGTTGGCTTGACCAGCACACATTTCAAGAGACTCTCGTATTTCTCATTACTTGAGGTCAGCACTGCCCGTCTTGTTGGTGGCCCCATTACGCACGGGATGGGGGGCACCAATCTCACTCCACACTGCCCTCTGAGAAGGGCTGTAATGCACTAATACCCTAGACAGTATTCGAACCAGGCATGCCAGCATTGCAAGCTCTCAGGACCTGATCCAAAGCTCAATGAAGTCAGAGAAGCTATCCACTGACTTAAGAGCTTTGGATCAGGCCCTGGGTCCCAATTACCTCTTCCAGCCAGTCCCCAGATCGTTTCAGAATTCACCTGCTCTTCAGTTCTAATCGGAGTCATCATCGGCAGAGATAGCCCAGCAAGTAGTTGCCAAGACATCTGTCAGCCCAGGAGGGGCATGAATAGCAGATGGAATACTAACCAAGAGAGTTCCTGTTCTCTTTGGGTTTTTTTGCAAATATTCCCCACAACAATAAAAAAGGAAGCCCTTGCCCACTTACAAATCAATCAGAAAAACATCCTAACTCCCTTTGAAGGCATGAGCAGTTTTCTGGACTCTGACTGCTGGGAATTTAGTGGGAAAGGTGCAACCAGCTGGAGAGTTCCAAGGGAACAACCAAAAGATTAAATTTCCAGAGAAATATACTTTGTCTTTACAAGCGCCAGGCAACGCGCTATGGAGCAACAGACTCAATCTCCCCACAATCGCACATGTAACATCCTGTCTCAGATGGCAGCTAATACCCAGTATTCTGTTTGCTAGCCCAGGGCAGCTAAGATACTCGTATCACATTTTGGGTTAAAAAACAAAACCAAACCAAATAAGAGGCTCTCAGAGCATCAGTAATTTGTTCTCTCTCCAGCTCCTGGATACACAAGAGAGTCAACTCCACTCCTCGGGTGTCATCTTGCCCACTTGAGGCGAGTCAGACTAACTGAGTAACTTTCACTTAGTCGGCACTAAAGAACAACACCTGACAATGGCAGTCAGTTGAAAATATGCACACATTGCTTGGCATTAGGGAAGGCAAAGTTCCACTCTTAGCATATGTGGAGTGGGGGAGGTTTTGCATGATCGGATCTTTGTGAACAAGGCGGAAGATACTGGCTCATAGAGGTCTGTCTGGGTATATTTGCTGGCAGCCCTGTAAACTACGCACAAGTGACTGGCTTTCAGGCAAGTCTCCTTCATCAAAGGCTCTGCAATAAAGACTTGGCAGTGGGATTCCTGGTGGCATTCTTTATTTAAAAACACAGGTCTATACAGGGCGATCTAACGATCTCCTTCCAGCACAGAAACGTCAATAGATTAAACACTCCCTGGATGCCTTTTAGTTCCAACTAGGTGTACCCAGTTTATTTACATTTCACAAATTACGAGTTACAAACAACGTTCATCAGAAGGTGACACATCACGATAGTGCTTGGTGCTCCTGGCAGCAGCAGGACACGAGAAATAGTCAAAGTCAAAGTGTGCTTCAGAAACAGAGGGAATTTGCCCCATTTTTACCCTGGGACAGCCTTTTATAGATACACCCCTTCATCACACTCTGAGGAGACCCAGAAAATTCATGTCCCAGATCAGAGGTTTGCAGAACGTGTTGCTTTTACTAAATCAAGCATTCCGCAGGGCAGGGCAGAGCCCCAGCTCCAATCAGAATAGAGCTGGTCACGGCTCTGAGATTAATACAGGAAAGAAGGTGATTTGCTTTTTTTAGAGAAACACACAGCTTATTAATTATCCTTGGCTCTCAGCTAAGCACATGGATGCAGCATATTTAAATTGCAAGGTCTTTGGGGCAGGCCTGGTCTGTATTTTGAATAGAACTAAGCACCAAATTCATTACAGCTGGTGGGAAAATGGGATGAAAGTTTTGTGGACATTTCATCCAAGTGGTTTTCATTTAAATTTGAATTTGGAAATTTTCAGACCAGCTCTTCAATTAACAATAATTGGGCCGATCCCCTGCCTTGGCATCTGGGAACTCAACACTGGCCCAGGGTGCTAAAGCAGCTCTGGTGGAAGGTGCAGAGGACTAGCAGGGGCAGTACCAGCTCAGGGGAGGCCCGCTTACATATATTTCCAAGTATTTATATAGTGCCCATCACCATGGTAACTGGGCGCCTGCTCCTGGTTACAAAGCTGAAACTAAGACACAGTAAGGGACTGAAGGCTGCATGACCGGCCAGATGGCAAGGGTGCTCAGCCACAGCCCCCGCAGCATGGCTCCATCCCAGTGCTCTCTCTGGCAGGCGATTAGGCACTAGGACTGGACACGGGCACGTGGGAGCAGCAGCTGGGACGCAATGGTGCGGATCTCGAGGCGGGAGAAAGAAGGGTTTGCAGCGGGCAGCACGCACTCCCCCGGGTATGCTCCTCCCGCTAATCCACACCATTCTCACATTACGAGAACCAGCCACCACAGTCCTGGGGGCTCTCTCCCATCCCTGCAGAGGACACTTTGAGCGCGGAGTCCTCTCGCAGGGACCAGGTCAGGTAGGGTTGGCTATGGGTGCTGGCATCAAAACAGTCCTGCCTTGATCTCCCCACCCCGAGGGCCCCAGATGGCTTTTCTATCACTAGCTGCTACGGCTCTAGGCTCTGCCCAGTGGCAGGGAAGCAGCAGGCGGAGAGGGGGGCAGGGGGGGGGGAGCCTGGGGTTTCAGGGTTTCTTACTCCTCTTGTAGGAGAGGCAGGAAGCTGGTCAGGCAGCCCCTGTGCCCCCCACCCCAGGTCCCGGTCCCACGCCGACTGTAGCAGTGCCGTGCCCCGGGGCAGCTTGGCCTCATGTGTAATTGCCGGGGCCGCCCAGGGGAATCACGAAGACAGAGATGTCGTCTCCAGAACCCAGCTCGTCGTCGGCCAGCCGCCAGCCTCGCTCCTTCAGCGCGTGTAATTGCCGGGGCCGCCCAGGGGAATCACGAAGACAGAGATGTCGTCTCCAGAACCCAGCTCGTCGTCGGCCAGCCGCCAGCCTCGCTCCTTCAGCGCGTGTAATTGCCGGGGCCGCCCAGGGGAATCACGAAGACAGAGATGTCGTCTCCAGAACCCAGCTTGTCGTCGGCCAGCCGCCAGCCTCGCTCCTTCAGCGCCCCCCTGGACCTCACCACCAGCCCACAGGCCGCCATGGTGTACCTGCAGCACCGCCGGGGACAGCCAGCAGCGGCAGCCAGTCAGCAGCAAGGGCTCCCCCCGCCAGCCACTCGCACTTGGGGCAGATCCCCCATCCTAGAGCCCCCTACTGAGGCTGACTGTATGCCCTGATGAGAAAGGGGACGGGTGATGGGGGGGTGGGTCAAGCTCTATGGGAGAGGAGGGAGGAATACACTGCTCTCAGATGACCCCTCCTGCCCGCTCCAGTGCGCTGTGGGAAGCAGCATTCAGGGCCCCCCCGCCCCGGGACACATGACTGTGACCCGGTGCCTTTGAGGAGAGACAGCGGCAGGCTGTGGGAACTGTAGCCCTAAAGGGAATGATGGCGGCAAGCCGGGAGCGCTGGGCGTTTGGGACTGCCGGGCCCCGCGCCGCACTGCAGCCATCCCGCCCTCGCCTTCACTCCCGGGACAATACGCCTGGCCCCCTCGACTCACCTGCAGGGATCGTTCGGCTCATAGCCCATCAGCACTTCCGTGACCACGTCAGCCACCTCCCGGTCACTGGTCACGTCCCAGAGCCCATCGGTGGCCAGGACCAGCACGTCGTCAGGGCAGTGTTCATACTGCGTCAGGTCATAAACTCTGACCTGGCGAGAGACAGGGGCTCAGCGCAAACCCCAGCCACTTGCTGCTGCTCTTCAGAAAGGGCCTGTCCAGCTCCTGCCCTGCCCTGTGTCACAGCACCATGCCCTGGCCCATCTCCTCCAGCCAGCACGCAGGGATCCCCAGGGTTCCCATCTTGCTGTCGCTTTCAGAGTCATCTCCCTATCCCAGCTGGGCTCAGAAGGGCAGAGAGGAGGCAGAAGGGAGACCTAGCAAAGCACTGTCCTGCACACCCAGACAGGTGGCCCAGCTCCCCCTCTGTCCAGCAGGGACGGCAGCCCTGCCCTGCCTCACGGGGGCGGGGGGATAACTGACCTAAATGCTGCAGGGCGCTCAGCTGCCCTGATGATGGGGGCCGAAGGCCGAAGGCAGACAGCTGGGCCCGGGGGCAGTGGCAGAGCTGCATGATGGGCCCAGCACTGGACTAACCGGGGCTGCGTAAGGGCAGGACAGAGGTGCCGCGGCAGAGCTCACGCGGTGCCAGCCCACGTGACCCTATCGCTAAAGCCCCTCCCTGAGGTGAGCACTGAATTCGCTCACGTTACCCAGCACCGGCCACTGATGGTAACTCTGGGGAGGAGGACAGCAGGCCGGGCAAACTCACCTCAGGGACACAGGAGAGGAAAGGCTTGATGTAGATATTGGAGTTGTACACCTTGAGGTCGTGGTCTCCTAAGCCCCGCGTGACCCCAATTGTCGCCATCACCCGTGCCTGGTGGGAAAGCAAATCAAACAGCTTCACTGTCTGCTCCCCCTTGGCGCCAGGGAAACACACGCACGGAGGGTGCTGCAGTCAGTGCATCTGCAGCGGGCCTGAGTGGGCCCTTGGGCTCACTGGAGAAAACAGGGCTGGAATTTAAACCTTCAGAGACAGAAATCCCCTCACAACCCACCCACCGGCAGAAGTCAGACAAGAAGAGTCCCCCCATACCATTGCAGACTCTAATGTCCCAGCTCCATGCCTGGATTTCTATTACCCCTCTAAACTCCTGGCCTCCTGTTCAATGGGGATTGTGTCTGTATGACATCCTGTACCCCATGTTCACCACTTTTATATGGCTATGATATATTTCATATAAAGTTGGCCTTGTGAGCTAGCTATCATTTGAAAACTCATAATCTACTGAACATCATTGCCCTGTTAAAATGTGTGTAACAACAGTGTGTGTAAAGCTATAAGATTTTACTATATGTTTGTTACTGAAATATGTTGTAATTCTGGGGAATGCCTACAGACTAGCTCCTCAGAGACAACAAAGGACTGGCCACAGTTGTTAGAAAATTATTAACTCCTGAAACAACCTTCCACCAGTAAGGGAGACTGTACATAAGGAATTTACAGGTCATCTCCAAGACGGCTCAAACTTCACATACACAGAAGGTGTCGGCAAGAAATTTAAAATTCACCTAAAAGGCATTTCATGTGCACAGGAGTCTGTTTTGCCTACCCCCCCCCCCCGGGGGTAATCCTCAAAGAGCGGAAAAAGGAATAAGAATGGAGAACTCACAACACACAAATTACCTCTCCTCCCCCATCTCTACTCAAGGCAGTAAGATCACTTTAAAGACAAATGTGCATCATTGAACTGGGGGGAATGGTCCTGGCCTGGAGGTTTTCCAGCCAGTCCAGACTGCTGAAAGCTTTTGGGTAAGATAAACCTTTTTGCTTTTAATCCTATTAGCCTTGGTAATATTTAGGAATTAGCTTGCATGTTTATCTTTTTATTTCTTTTGTAACCAACTCTGACTTTAATGCCTTATCACTTGTAAATCACTTAAAATCTATCTTCCTCTAGTTAATAAACTTGTTGTATTGTTTTATCTAAACCAGTGTGTTTGATTGAAGTGTTTGGGAAATCTCTACTCAGGACAACAGGACTGGTGCATATTCATTACCCATTGTTGGAATGATGGACTAATCATGAGCTTGTACAGTCCAGTGGGCTACTGGACAGTACAAGATGCACATTTCTGGGGTGCACGGCTGGGACTGAGAAAGATGCGGATTTCACCCTGTATCTAGTCATGGCTGGCTGGGAGAGCATTCATGTATTCAACTGGGAGAGACTTTACATGGCAGTGGCTGGGAGCGAGCAGAGCCGGGAGGGGTGGCTGTTCGGACAGCAAAGCAGTGTAAAAGGCATCCCAGACTGGAGAGCTAAGGGGACACAGCAGTCCTGGGGAATGTCACAGTCTGTAACTCACATCTGCAGTTCCTGGGCACTTTACCTTTTTACCTTCTCCGTAGATAAGCGGAAACTTCAGGTCATCCTCTTCTATCCTTTTATAGGCCCTGGTTACAAACAGGGAGATGACCAGGTAAAGCTTACCAGCAGCACCTGGGCTGTTTTCAACAGAGCAGCTTGTGCCTGTCAGACACTCAGGCTCTGCCTATGCTAGAAAATCTGCTGGCGGCTGCCAACAGGTGCAGCTGAACCCACCCACGGGGGCAGGAGGGTCTAAGCAGCTAAGTCACGAGGCTGGCACAAAGCATAACAAGCAGGTCAGTGGCCTTACCAGCCGTTCATGTTCTGGTCTCTGTACAGCATCTTCTTCCCCAGCTCCTTGTGCTGAATTCTCCGTGGAAACTCGAGGTGCGTGAACTCATTCCCCAGCAGCTCAGGTCTCAAAAACCCCTAAGGGGAGAAAACAGCAGATTCAGCCACAAAACCCAGCAGTGCCTGATGCATGTGAACAACAGACACAGCCTGTGCCCCAGGCACGCAGCAGGGGCTATGCTGGAGAGGGAGCCCACAGTGCATCGTTCCCCAGCTCATTAAGACATCGGGCTTCGAGAGTGAAGGCAAACGTCTAGGCTGGGCTCCCGGGAACGCCAAACCCTTCTGCACCCCGCAGCAAGGGTGCCGTGTGCTGGTCCCAAGGCAACACAGCTTGGGTGCCAACAGCCCTTTCTCCAGCTGCAGCTGCGCTGCCCTGTCTGATAAAAGTCTGACTGATGTCTGATGGCTTCCAATAAGCGTCCTGGAGAGGAGGGTTCTGATTTCACTGGGCTTGGGGTTCCCTGGGTCACTCCCCGGGATACAGCGAAAGGGCCAGACACCGCAAGGAAAGGGGCTGAAATAGCTTTTATTATTGGTGACAACAGCAACACATCTCACTGTGATTGGAAAGGCTGCTGGGCATCTTTCCAGGGCAGCCACCTCCCAGCGCTACACCGGAAAGCCCCAGTTCCACGTGACACCAGAGCGCCTCCATGTAGTTCTGGGCACAAATGCCCCTCGTGATGTCAACGGGGGCTTTTGCCCATGCTGATCTGGAAAGGGCTTTGCAATAACTGACCCAGAGGGTCTGGCTGAAATATGCAAGAGAGAGAATTCAGTGGGAGGCTGAAATGCACCCGGGTCTGGTTCAGGTACCCAGAGGTCACCCGTGGGTTGCAATGGCGAGGTGGAGTAGGGCAAGAGACTGTCAGTCCACCAGCCTGAAATCGGAACTAGCAGAGACAAGAGAGGGGCATCGGGTACAGAAAGCAAACACTGGCCCAACTCAGCAACCTGCACCCGGGGCTCAGAGAGGGCCTCAAGTGAAAAGCAATAGGGAGTGACTTCTCTTCTCTCAGCAGGAGCCTCCATGCCATGATTAATGCCATGGCCTCTGCCAACCCTCCTGTTCGTTTGCCCAGACACAAGAGGAAACGCGGGGACTTAGACACTGAACTAGCCTCTGTGGGCGGTGCCACTGTCAACAATGTCCCACCATTTCTGAGTATTTCCTTGGACGTCTGAACACCGCCCACGTGAAGGTTCCCAACTGTTTCATTCTGCAAAGAGGGATCCCCTCAAGCACCCAATTCCCTTCCCACCCCACAGAACCTTTAGTCCTACATTTCTCCATGGGTCCAGGATGGTCCCTGGACCACAGAGTGAGAACCACTGCTCTAAACAAAGCCAATTTCCCCCTAGCAGACCCCTAGCCAATGAGTTGGCTGCCCAAGCTTACATGGGAATCTTCTGCATCAGCCTAGCTCTGAACCCACAGCAGTGGGGCAGGGCACTTTAACATGCAATTATCACGTTGCACCACAGAGTTCAGGGATAAGAGAGACCCAGTGCCGAGATGCAGGGAGGGACACGGGCTGGGGGGGATTCTAACAATGTTAGCAAATGCCAAATGACTTAGCAGAGGAAAAGATGAGAGCAGGAGGTAAGGGAATCCAGTGCAGAGCTGCAGACAATCTCTGCTGGAACTCTGAAATCTGCTGGAAGGAAGGCTCTTCCCAGGGGCTGTGTGTTCTATCTACAGGAACAGAAGTCAAACCGTGAAATAAATGCCCTCCATTTAACTTGTGTCATGGTTACAGCAGTTTCCTGCATTCTTATTAGGACACAAGGCCTACAAAAGGGCTTTGGCAGAAATCAATTCACCCCAGCCCATGGGGCAAATCTAGGGTTGATTTTCTGACTGCTCAGGTTTCACAGCCAATTGGAGAGACTACACTGCTGGGTGCAATTTCCTCCTTTCCAGGGCTGTTTGAAAACAGAGCTGAGGATAGGAAACCTCTTGGGGTTTTTCCAAGGTATAGTCTGAGCCAGGAGACATGTCCAGCAAAACCTCAGCTAACTTTCATGTCACCTTCTCCCTCCCACTCTCTGTGGGGGCGTTTCTTTACAACCCTATCAAGTTTCATTTTGCAGCAGGGTGATTTTTCCAAGGCAAACTGGAGAGAGAAGCTTTCAGGAACCACAAGAGCGATGCTCAGACTTGATCTGTTTTCCTAGTGCTGTGGCAGGCACCGGGGCGCAGAATCAAGACTCGGCATTAGCCCAGTCTCCCATCACCTGCTTCCCTAGAGGAGAACAATGGGGCCTGGGAACATGATGGACAAAGGGAGGGGCAATGTGTACTGACCAGGAGATGGCTGCTGTCACGGGGAACCAGACAACACTAAATAAATATCAGAGAGGCCTCGCCCTTCCCACCACTTGCCTCGGGCACGGCACATGGTCCATCTTACGCATTGGCTCTGTGCTGGCGCGAGGAGCCAGATCGCCAGCCCTGGGGAGCACTGCCCTCTCTATGCCCAGCGTGAACACAGAACAAGCCATAGAAAGGCACGCGCTCCCCACGCTGGCCTGCTGGGACCTAGGGGCGAGAGGGAGTTCAGTCTCCATGGCCCGTTCAGCCCTCGGCCTCTCTGTTGAGGCTGCTACACGAGGTTTGTCTGCACAAGAGGGAACAGGCGGAGACCACTGACTTGCTCCCAGGGGTCCCCGGACAGCTCTGAGTCAGCTTAACTGCCAACCTGGCCTGGACCCAGTGCCCTAGAGGGTAAACACCTCACATGCCATTCCCCAACCCCCGAGGCAGTCCGACGTGGGGCTGGAATGGAACTAATGAGGCCCCACTTCTCATTCCCAACCCCCCATCCAGGCCCCGTCAAACTGCACCTATTTCATAATCTGGGGCAGATGGAAACCGCTGCTGATTCACCTGCGGGGTTGTATTTAGCGAACAAACCACACAAGTGATCTCAGTGCGGCTTTTCCCAGCAGCACAACTGCCCGGAGAGCTGCCCGGCTCATTGGTTTACAGACCCAGAAGCTCAGCGGTAGGGGAGGCGGGTTAGAAGGAATCCGATGAGAAGAAAGTTCTTTCTTACTAAAACCTGTAGCCTCTGCCTCTCTGTTTCGGGAGTAAATTCCCTGGACATTGGGATGATTTCCCCGTTACGGATGATAATGGCCCTGCAATGAAACACGGAAGGATGAGATTAGTGAGAAAGGGAAAGCGGCTGCTCTCATTTCACAGCTACGGGAAGAACATTGCCGTGGGCTCCCTCCAGATCTGCCGGAGGCTCCTGGTTTATTTACTACACAGCACACCTTTGAGGAGCGGGGCATCTCACACTGTCCATTCACCATCGGGTATTTTTGTATCTGCTGTTCAGATTCCACCAGCCCTGAGCTGAAGAATCACTTGCAGGCTACACGACTGCGATTCCCCCGAAGCTACTATTGGGAGAGCCAGGCACGGGGGACGCAGTCTGCCTCAGGAAGACCATAGAGGTCAAAAAATAAAAAGTAGAAAGCGGGACAGAGAAAATAATCTAGGTGGAAAGTGGAGCAGAGAGAAAAATGAGTGGAGGTTGGCTGTGTGAACAGGATCTGCGTTAAGGTCACGGAGGCATCGTGAACAAGAGAGCGGGACAGGGAACATGCAGAACTCCTTGGCCATTCACAGACAGGGTGCGCAGGAAATATTATCCTGTGTTACTGGTTCACTGCCAGTGCGGTGCAAGGCAGGATGGGTTGTTCAGTGGATATGTAAAAAAAGCTGCTCACGGCACTTGGCTAGAGGTTACCAAGTGCAGCCAAGGTCCTTGGGTGTCTGTGGGCTGGCTGGATCTCTGGCTTTCGCTGCTCTCTATGGCAGCGGGGTCTCCTCCACACACCGTGCGACTGCTGCAGGCACCCCTGGGACCCGCTCGGTGTTTGCTTCCCTGACCAGAGGTAAAGCAGAGACCCTGACTCGGTTGCCGCCGTCTCTCGGGAAGGATCCCAGCGTCGCTGGCCAATGGATGAGAAGCGGCTGGTCGACATTACGGGGCCGGGACAGTGGCTGTGTGGGAACGGCGCTCACTTATGCAGCAGGCTCCTGCCCCTGTGCATGCTCCGAGCCACAGCCACTGATCAGCCACCTCACAGTCCTCGTGCTGCCCCGCCTGGTTGTATCCACCTGTTGGCTCAGTTAGACTGCAAGCTCCTTAGGGGAAGGGCTGTCCTTTCACTACATGTGAGCGCTCAGTCCCTAGCACAATGGGGCTCGACCCCCAACTGGGGCTTCCCTCGCTTCTGCAACAGAAGCGGCACCAAGAACCACCCCCAGCCATTGCCCAGTGAAGCCAGCGTTATACTAGTGCCTGGCCAGAGGGCAGGGACGGCTACAGGAGAGAGAGATGGGCTCTACTCTGCCTCGTGCCTCCCCAGCAGGACCCTTAACTGACTTCCCCCGGCGCGGTTGCCTCTGTTCCTGGCCAGGAAGAACACAGCCCACTTCTCGGCTGGCAGGGTGGGTCTGCGGCTCCAGCAGCTGTGTGCGCATGGGGGGAATTCGTTTAACCGAGCTGAACGTGGGAGCCCAGAGCGGCATGTTAGGTCAGTTACCAGAAGCCACACTCCAATAGGGACACAAGAGATGGGGGTCTTCCGGCCTAGCCGGGTCTCACCATCTGGGTCACTTTGCCCAGACCCACGCATGGGACAGCGGCTGGCAGCATGGGGAGGAGCTCGTGAGAGGCCTGCGGAGGCCACTAGAAGCTGGTGGAGATGAAACCGATGCCTGCTCTCTCCAGCTACCCGTGGCCGTGACAGAAGATGCTTCCTCCATTTGGCTCGGAGCATCTTCCATGCAACACACTGCAGCGCAGGCCTCTACAGCAAGGCAGGGCTCACACTGACGACAGTCACAGCCTGGCCTACTCCTCCGCCTTGGTGCATTTCCTAGCCGGTGGCCAACTGAGAGCTTCACGAGACACTCTCCAGACTGGTGGCTCCGCCTCCCCCCAGCTTCATCAGCCGGGAGCGCCATGCACACCCTCATTCCACTGGAGTGCAACACCACCACACAGGGCACCAAGTTCACACCCCCGACCTCCAACCAACACATTCCACCAACACCCACATTTGCGGGGGTGACATTTATGCAAGGGGCTAAAATTTTCAAAAGCGCCTAAGTGACTGAGGTGCCTAAATTCCATTGGTTTCCACTAGTACTTAAGCACCTAAGTCACATAGGTGACTTTGTAAATAAGAGTTACATTGCAAGTGCCTAAGGGCTTATTACACACAGCTTTTGAACCACTTAACTATCACCCCCCACCCCTCCCAGCAACCAAAATAGTTACATGGGTACAAAAAGTGCACGCACCCCTGGGCTCTGACACACAGGGCTCATCTACACTGCAATACAATACGCATGGCACAGCCGTGGCTGGGCTGGCTCGGGCAGTGGGGCTGTTGGGGCTCAGGCTGGACTCCGGGCTCCGAGACCCCACAACAAGGGTGGTGTCAGAGCCCGGGGTCAAGCCTGACCCCCAACGGCCACGCGGCGAGTTTTAGCCTCTGGGCTCGGAGGCTCAGTGTTGCCAGTTTTTCCTTGTAGTGGAGGTACATCTCCCCCCAGGGGGATTTTCACGCCCCTACAGCCAGCTCCGGAGTGAAATGCAAGTCAGGCCTGGAGTCCGATTGAGCACAATACGTGGACCACACAGCAGAAAGGTCTGTTAGGAAATATTGCTCGGGGAAGAGAAGAGCTCACTGCAGTGGGGTCCCCACTCCACCCCGTCTTTAATCACACACAAGATACTGCCAAGGAAGGTGTCTGGAGCTTAAGGAATCAAACCCCGAGTTAAAGGAGGCAATTCTGCACTATCCGAGTGCCCCGGGCCAATGGGCGGACAGCAGCATTCATTCCTTCAGGGCTGCTCTGAACGCCACCATTACTTACAGCTCTGGACAGCGTGCGATTGAAGCACCCCTGTGAAAGTGCACGAACCTGCAGTTTACAGCTGTGTATGGAGGCATGCAGAGCAGCACCCTCACCAGCCCCAGCCCCAGGCTTCGGGATCCATACCTGACCAGTAGCTGCGATGAGGCGGGTTTCTCCGGGGCTGTCACATGCCTTCACCAAGCTCTTTTTTTTTTTTTTTTTACGGGCACGTTTATTTCCTCAATCAGTCAGTGACTGGGTTCTGGGGGGGGGGTCAGACCCATTTCCAGCGGGCAGCAAAGGAGTCTCAGCCCATAGTCACTCTGTGACTGGAGCTGCCATGCCCCGGCCAGGGGAGGGAGCCCTGGGCCAGACGCTGGCCCCTGTACACACTCGCTCTCTCCTACCTACTGTCACCTGCGTTTGCCACGTAGACTTTCCCCAGGAGGTAAACCACAGCTAGGACGCAGCAGCCTCCCGCCACGAGCCGGGTCGTCTGCTCCCGCTCAATCTGCTCATCCTGAGGAGACAGACAGCAAGACGGACCCATAGATGGAGGCAGCTCAAAGATGCCGAGACGTCAGCAGGGCTCTTCTAGGCGGGCTGCTGAACCAGACAGCGGGTGGGAAATACCCGTACACATGGAGCAGGGGTTACCACTGCAACAGGCCCTCCAGCATGCCCTCTGCTGGGCAAGGGCCCCCCCAGCGCCAATCCGCCCTCCCCCGTATGCTGGTGGCTCTACGGCCTGAACACCCTTGCTGTTCTGTCATGTCTCCCTGGTTAATTCCTCATTCTGCCCTCTCAGCCTCCTGACCCTGGGAGATGCGTGTCCTGTCCCCTCCCTACCCCGAACCTCTGCTCTGCCACAGCCAGGAGCAGCAGCGAGAGGGTTAACGCCAGATCCTCCTCTCCCTTAGAGATTGCACCCTCATTCTCCTGGGGGGGGCACCTCTGCCAGCCCTGTGCCTGCTGCTGGGTGCATGAGGTCAGTCCTGCCTGCCCCACACGCACACGGGACACTTGTCACTGCACCTGGGGCCCCTGTCGAGGCAAAATAAAGTGCCTGGCAGGCCAACGCACTGGCAAAGCTCTCAGCACCAGCGGGGGTTAGCAAAGACAGGGTCAGGCTCCTGAGTCCAGAGACTGCAGCTAGCCAAGCACATGCCTCAGCAGACCAAAATAGTCCTCTGCTGTCCCGTCAGCACGATGGTTACTAAAGGAAATGAGCGTACATTCCAGCTGGAACGCAGCTGCCCAGCCAGGGCCAGGGCACATCCCCTTGCCTGATCCCAGGGGCTCCAGCCAGCCGGCACTGGACACAAGACGCCTGGGTTCCCCCGTGGCTCTCCCGGGGGCAGGCTGGGGAGAGAGGAGTCCTGCAGAGAGTGGCTTCCCTCAGCCTGCTGGGGGCTTGGGAAAGCAGCAGCAAAGAAAAAACAGCCCGGGAGCCCCCCCTCCTTCTCCCCCTCCTCCTGCTCCCTTGGGTGCCGTGAGGCAGTCTCCGTGTGAGAGAAATGACACATCAGCCTCCCTCCCGCCGCGGGCCTCAATGCTTCCTGTTGCTAATGGTGACGAACAGGACGTGGCATCGCGCGGCGCAGTGGGAGAAGCTGATCTCACGTGGCACAACCCCTGAGCAGAGCACCTCCAGCAAGGGGGTGCCAACCTGCACCCAGTGCAGACTGTGGGGGAGGAGGCCAGGCTTGGGGAGAGCAAGGAACGCTCGGAGGGAACTTTCCTCCTCCCTGTTGTAACTGTGGATGGGCTCATTAGCCCCAGACATGCCTAATCCTTTCTGGCATCCTGCTGAGCTCCTGGCTTCGGTGATCTGTGTGGCAGTGAGTTCCACAGGCTAACTGTGCCATGTATGTTGTGGGGAGGAGAGGTTGACAGGCATTTCCTCCTCTGACAGTTCTCTACCCAACTCCTCCCCTTCCACCTCCTGCTCTGGGACTGCACACTCCCCCAGCTCGCTCACCATCCGCTTGAAGGCGTTCTCGATCGCGCCAATCACCAGGCTTTCACAAGAGACTGCCTTCTCCAGGTGGAATCGGGGCAGGGCATCGTTGGGGAGCTCTGCATCTGCTTCTGCAAGGGGGGCCCGGTTCCGCTCAGCCGGGAGCACCCGGGAATCGCTCGGAAGGCAGAGTGGGGGAGGGGAAGAGTCCTGTAGGATATCCACCAGGTCCCTGAGCTGGTCGGAGATGTGAAGGTGAAGCAGCTTGGATGCCATGACAGCAGCACCACTGCCAGCGTGGCCGTCAAACAAGCCCCAGTAGTGGAAGCAAAGGCCCCCCCTGCCCTGTTGGGAGAAATGGGACGGTTAAGGGAATTCCCCTGGGAGTAAAACCAGGGGGAAGAGAGGGCGGGCCCAGCTGAGCAGGGAGGTTAGTGTCACCGGGCTGGGCTTGGCTTGCCCAGGGCACCGATCCCAGGATGGAAGGCCTGTTGGCCTTCAGTGTCAGTTCTAATCCAGCCCACGAGGGGACTGACCAAGCTGGCTGCTCAGTGACTTGTGCCAGATCGATTAATTGGTGGCTTCAGGGCAGTTCCCTGCCACAGGCGGCCCCTTCCCCTAAGTGGCAGGTTCCGCAGCGAGGCCAAGCACTGAATGGACTGAAATCCAATCGCACCCCAGAGGGGCCCAGGCCAGTGTGACCTCCCCTGTCCGTACACGCAGCGGATGGAATTTTGCATGTGTGTTTCCAAAGCCATTTTGCCTGGACCATGGCAGGAGCAGGGCGTGGAGCAAAGAGAGTCAGCATGAGAATTACAGGAAGCCCTGCCAGGGTCCTGGCCTCCATGGTTTACACTGCTCACCCCCTCCGCTTCCCCTGTGCATCCCTTGGGAGCTGGGTTACACCTCGGACTGCATCGCCTGTCCACCAGCACCACCTCACAGCAGGCTTGATCCTCATTGTGCTGGCTCTTCCCAGCATTTATCACCCTAGGGGGACGGAAAGAGATGAAAGAGACAATGATTTGGGGCGAACACTCCATTTATCAGTGGATTTCACTCTGTGACTGCAGAGAGACACGGCAAGCGCCAGCCAGTCCTTCACTCACCCTGGTTTACAGCATGCAGAGAACAACTGCCCACCGAGACCAGCTAGCTCACGTGGCATGCTGTTCCTTCCTCACAAAGCTTCTGACTCAGAACCTGCTAAAGCCTTGGTTGCAGTCATGCAAGATACACATACCAAGTCTTGCAGCCACAGGTCCTCTGCTAATCGGTGAGGTCACATTCCAGTATGTGCCAAAATCCTCAGTGCCCCACAGAAAGCCTGGTTTGCTTAAGCAGAAGTGGGCAGGCAAGATGTACCAGCAGAAACTTTTGCAAACAGAGTGACATTAACTAATTAATCCCCCCTTGCTAAGCAAATTTCAGATCTCCATTGCAAAACCTCCTTTGTGGGAGGAAGTTGTAGATATGCAAAACAAGAAGTGCTCTTTAGGCAGCAGCTCTTCAAGTGGTTTATAGGGAAGGAATGCTGTCACATGGAGAAGCAGTCAGAGCTAAACTTAAGGGTGCTTTTAACGAGTTCCTCTAATATTCTGAAAGGTTCCTACTTCTGAGAACTCAAGTGCAGGGTTTTCTATTCCCATTACCGCACTGGAGCAAGTGACATTTCAAAGAGTTCAGAAGTTGGAAAGAAACCCAGAAAAACCCATCCAAGCTTTGGCTTGTTCCCATCACAAATTGTGAGCAAAAAAAGCCCAACTGTGTGTAAACAAATGAGAAAGATGGTCATTTCAGAACTATAATAATGCCAAAGTCCGAGACAGTGACTGCTGTTTATTATAGTGAAACAGCACCACCAGGGGCCACCTCTGCAATATATCATCTTATAAAAATATCTTACCGCTTCTCCAAGATTTCCAGTAAATTTTTCCCCACTCTTTAATTAAAGACAAATTTCTACTAGATGACAGATCTTTGCTTGTCCTTGGGGTGGTCACTTGAAGGTAGGTTTCACTGTAATACCCTATAGGGAAGTGATGTTTCTGACAATATTTGTTATTGAAGAACAATCACAGAGTTGTGTGCAGCGCTGCCAGGAGAGAAAGGAAAATAGGGAGTGCTTGGAAAATCCAGGTCCAGAAAACTAGCCCTGACAGCACGTACCACTGTGAAAAGCAGCAGAACAGGCACCAGACCAAAGACACACTGAAATGAACCCCTGATTGTCTAAGGTCCTTGTCACAAGTAAGATACACCTCCTCCCGGCCTCTCTCCCACCTTAAAAGGAGGCCTTTGCAAAGAATTCCCCATTAAGTCTAGTTTTTACCCACTTCATGGTTGGCATTTCAGAAGTCTCAGGGCCGGCTACAGGATGGAGGTGACAAAGCCAAAAAAAGGCCAGGCTGCGGGAGGGTCCCTTGTGCCCCTCCCAAGGAGCTGAAGTGACTTGACTGGCCTCACATCTCTGGAAATGGGCCAGGTAATACAGCCAAGTTAGCTGAGGGGGCCTCTCCTGCTCCCAAGGAGCATGTCAGGAGCAGGTCTTTAAAGGGGAAGTGTGAAGCTGCCTCTTCCCAGGAGCAAGGTTCAAGTCCCTGCTCCTCTGTGATCTTGGGAAGCTCCGTCACTCTGAGCCTCAGTTCCCCATCTGTGAAAAGGATAGTGTGAGCTACATCCAGAAAACACGTGAAAGACTGTGAGGCACTTGGATACCGCAACAGCAGGGGTATATATCCAGCCGACAGAAGGGCAAAACAAAAGCCCAAACAGCACAGCCTGGCTCCTCTCAAATCTACGTTTGACTTTTTCTTCGGGCCAGGTTCCAACACCCTTATTCACACTGAATAACACCGTACTCTGCGAGTCATCCCACTACGGCCAATGTGACTGCTCACCTGCAGAAAGTTAAGCTAACAGGTAAGTCTTTGTAGGTCTGGGGCTAAAGACACTATTCAGTGGGAGGGCAGCAGGCACTGGCCCATCAGGTTTGCTGCCCTGCAGAAGGTATTCGTTTCACCTACGCAGGTACACAGGTAAGCCAATAATAATCCACTTAAAAGGAAAACAGAACTTGTGCCTTCCAGGACCGGCACCAAATGGAACCAGAGTCAGCACTTGACCCTTGGCCGACTAGATGATACTTACAGCAGACATTATCTCAGGGCTGAGCCCCAGTAACCTTTGCTGCCCTGCAAGGACAGAGTGTCAAAAGACCTCAGGGAACCTCCGTGGGCTTGTGATGGAATGAGAACAGAGCTTCCCTTTAGCTATACCACAGGTTCAAAACTGCAAGGGAGGAAAGGAAAGTGGACAGACATCTCTAAGGTAGTACGGACTTCTGCCTTACTCCAGCTCAGCTAATACAAAAAATATTGCTAAAAATGAAACTCCCACATTGTAGACTCTCTGGGAGAGGAATCCCCTTTGCATTCTGTGAGCACAGAGCCCCCAGCTCTATGGGGCCTGTCCGCAGTATGGCAATTGTACCACCCAACGATGTGCAGCCATTCATTGTACAGTTTACACATCAGGGCTCTAGAAATATAAAATCCTCCGGTTAACGGCAAGAGGGAAGCTGGCCACAACACAGTTGTGATCCTGCAAACAGGCTTCCCTGTTCACTCATGTTTCTGTTTAGACTCACTTCACTCACCGATTACTCATGTGCATAAGCGTCTGCAGCTTCTGCAGAACGCTGCCTCCAGCTAAATGTCTGGCTCTGACCTGCGACAGGCTTTGGAGATGCTAAGCACCACACAGTGACTGCACAGAGTGGCCACGGCAGTAGATAAGCCGGGGAAGGTGAGCGCCCTTGGAGAGGTAAACACCGCTGCATGCTTGGCTCTGCTTTCCCCGTGTGGAGCAGATGGGAGCAAGGCGAAGGGCTGCTGTTTGCACAAGGCGAGACCCCTGGGGCAGGAACAAGGGAGCTATTCAGGGCCTAGGTGCTGGAACTAGGGGTGCGGCCACCCCCTGGCTTGAAGTGGATGCCATCCCACCCAGGGTTTACTTTGGTTCAATGGCTCTCAGCACCCCACTATACAGATAGTCCAGGACCCCCGACTCAGGGTCCCAGACTGAGTCAGGGGGACCCTCTCCCGACAGGGATCCTGCTGGGGGCGTCAGGCACCGCAGCGCCCCTAGGCTGGATACCCCACAGCGCCTGGGTCCCGTCCCGGAGGCAGCGCCTGAGCAAACCACCACCCGCCTCGGCCCCTGGGCAGCTGCACCCACGGACGTGCCCCGGGCACCGGCAGGGCCCCGCTGCGGGGCCTTCTCCCGCCACCCCCGGCCACCGAGCCCCGCAGGAGCCGGAACCGGGGCGCCGCCGGCTGCGGCGGGTCCATCACACGGGGGTTCGCGGTTTGGTTCAAAGGCTCTCGGACCCCCCGGGGACCCCCCCGCCTAGCTCCCTCCGGCGGAGCATCTCCCCGGGCAGCCCGCGCCGGGGCCGGGCAGGGGGAGCGGAGCGCCCCGGCCGGGCAGGTCGGTGGCCCCGCCGCCCTGGGACCCGCCCCCCGGCTCAGCGCCCGGCCCGGGCCCCGCGCCCCCCGGCGCCCCGCGGCTCACTCGGCGTAGCCGGTGCTCCAGGGCAGGCGGCCGCGGGTCTCCCGGGGGCTCTGCACGGCTCTGCCCGCGTGATCGCCCGCCCGCCGCAGCTCCTCGGCGCCGAGCTGCAGGAAGGCCGGTCTGGAGAAGCCGCCGCCCGCGGGCGGCCCCCGGCAGGCGCTGGGGCCGGGCGGGACCCGGGGCGGCGCAGGCGAGTCCCGCGGGGGCTGCGCGGCGGGCGCGGGGCCCGGGCCCCCCACCAGCTGCGCCACCGCCGTGCGCACCCTGCCCAGCATGCTGCCTCCGGCTGGGCGCGCCGCTCGGGCCCCCGGCTCCGCTCCCCGCCTCCCCGCCCACGGGCCGGCCCCGCCCCGCCCCGCCCCGCCCCGCAGAGACCACCCCACCCCCCCGAACCCCTTCCCTGCCCCCTCCAGCGCCCCGAACCCCCCGCACCTCTTCCCTGACCCCCTCCAGCACCGCAACCGCCCTGCACTCCTTCACTGACCCCTCCAGCACCCCGACCCCCTGCACCTCTTCCCTGACCCCCTCCAGCACCCCGAACCCCTGCACTCCTTCACTGACCCCTCCAGCACCCCACCCCCGAACCCCTTCCCTGCCCCCTCCAGCGCCCCGAACCCCCGCACCTCTTCCCTGACCCCCGCCAGCGCCCCGAACCCCCGCACCTCTTCCCTGACCCCCTCCAGCGCCCCGAACCCCCGCACCTCTTCCCTGACCCCTCCAGCACCCCGACCCCTGCACTCCTTCACTGACCCCTCCAGCACCCCACCCCCGCACCTCTTCCCTGACCCCCTCCAGCACCCCGACCCCCTGCACTCCTTCCCTGCCCCCTCCAGCGCCCCGAACCCCCCGCACCTCTTCCCTGACCCCCCCAGCGCCCCGAACCCCCCGCACCTCTTCCCTGACCCCCTCCAGCGCCCGAACCCCCGCACCTCTTCCCTGACCCCCTCCAGCACCCCGACCCTGCACTCCTTCACTACCCCTCCACACCCCACCCCCGAACCCCTTCCCTGCCCCCTCCAGCACCCCACCCCCCGCACCTCTTCCCTGACCCCTCCAGCACCCAACGCCCTGCACTCCTTCACTGACCCCTCCAGCACCCCGACCCCCTGCACTCCTTCACTGCCCCCTCCAGCACCAACGCCCTGCCTCCTTCACTGACCCCTCCAGCACCCGACCCCCTGCACCTCTTCCCTGACCCCCTCCAGCGCCCCGAACCCCTGCACTCCTTCACTGCCCCCTCCAGCACCCCAAAACCCCCCACCTCTTCCCTACCCCACCCCAACCCACCTCTTCCCTACCCCCTCCAGCGCCCCGAACCCCCCGCACCTCTTCCCTGACCCCCTCCAGCACCCCGACCCCCTGCACTCCTTCACTGACCCCTCCAGCACCCCACCCCCGAACCCCTTCCCTGCCCCTCCAGCACCCCGACCCCCGCACCTCTTCCCTGACCCCCTCCAGCGCCCCGAACCCCTCACTCCTTCACTCCCCCTCCAGCACCCCGAACCCCCCGCACCTCTTCCCTGACCCCCCTCCAGCGCCCCAACCCCCGCACTCCTTCCCTGACCCCCCTCCAGCGCCCCGAACCCCCCGCACCTCTTCCCTGACCCCCTCCAGCACCGCAACCGCCCTGCACTCCTTCACTGACCCCTCCAGCACCCCGACCCCCTGCACTCCTTCCCTGACCCCCTCCAGCGCCCCGAACCCCTGCACCTCTTCCCTGACCCCCTCCAGCGCCCCGAACCCCTGCACTCCTTCACTGCCCCCTCCAGCACCCCAAAACCCCCGCACCTCTTCCCTGCCCCCTCCAGCGCCCTGAACCCCTGCACTCCTTCACTGCCCCCTCCAGCACCCCGAACCCCCGCACCTCTTCCCTGACCCCCTCCAGCGCCCCAACCCCCGCACCTCTTCCCTGACCCCTCCAGCGCCTCGAACCCTGCACTCCTTCACTGACCCTCCAGCACCCCAAAACCCCCGCACCTCTTCCCTGCCCCCTCCAGCGCCCCAACCCCTCACCTCTTCCCTGACCCCCTCCAGCCCCCAACCCCCACTCCTTCCCTGACCCCCCTCCAGCGCCCCGACCCCCCCGCACCTCTTCCCTGACCCCCTCCAGCACCGCAACCGCCCTGCACTCCTTCACTGACCCCTCCAGCACCCCGAACCCCTGCACTCCTTCACTGCCCCCTCGCAACCGCCCCCCTCCTTCACTACCCCTCCAGCACCCCGAACCCCTGCACTCCTTCACTGACCCCTCCAGCACCCCAAAACCCCCCCACCTCTTCCCTGCCCCTCCACCCCCAACCCCTCACCTCTTCCCTGACCCCCTCCAGCGCCCCAACCCCCCGCACCTCTTCCCTGACCCCCTCCAGCGCCCCGAACCCCCCGCACCTCTTCCCTGACCCCCGCCAGCGCCCCGAACCCCCGCACCTCTTCCCTGACCCCCTCCAGCACCGCAACCGCCCTGCACTCCTTCACTGACCCCTCCAGCACCCCGACCCCCTGCACTCCTTCCCTGACCCCCTCCAGCACCCAACCGCCCTGCACTCCTTCACTGACCCCTCCAGCACCCCGACCCCCTGCACTCCTTCCCTGACCCCCTCCAGCGCCCCAACCCCTCACCTCTTCCCTACCCCCTCCACCCCAACCCCTCACTCCTTCACTCCCCCTCCACACCCCAAAACCCCCCACCTCTTCCCTGCCCCCTCCAGCGCCCCAACCCCTGCACTCCTTACTCCCCCTCCAGCACCCCAACCCCCACCTCTTCCCTGACCCCCTCCAGCGCCCCGACCCCCCCGCACCTCTTCCCTGACCCCCTCCAGCGCCCCGAACCCCTGCACTCCTTCACTGACCCCTCCAGCACCCCAAAACCCCCGCACCTCTTCCCTGCCCCCTCCAGCGCCCCGAACCCCTGCACCTCTTCCCTGACCCCCCTCCAGCGCCCCCAACCCCCCGCACTCCTTCCCTGACCCCCCTCCAGCGCCCCGACCCCCCCGCACCTCTTCCCTGACCCCCTCCAGCACCGCAACCGCCCTGCACTCCTTCCCTGCCCCCTCCAGCACCCCGAACCCCTGCACTCCTTCACTGCCCCCTCCAGCACCCCCAAACCCCCTCCACCCCTTCCCTGCCCCCTCCAGCGCCCCGAACCCCCCGCACCTCTTCCCTGACCCCCTCCAGCGCCCCCGAACCCCTGCACTCCTTCCCTGCCCCCTCCAGCACCCCCAAGCCCCCTCCACCCCTTCCCTGCCCCCTCCAGCGCCCCGAACCCCCCGCACCTCTTCCCTGACCCCCTCCAGCGCCCACCCCCCCCCCCTCCTCCCTCCCCAGCACCGCAACCGCCCTGCACTCCTTCACTGCCCCCCTCCAGCACCCCAAAACCCCCTCCACCCCTTCACTGCCCCCTCCAGCACCCCACCCCCCCGAACCCCTTCACTGACCCCCTCCAGCACCCCGAACCCCCCGCACCTCTTCCCTGATCCCCCTCCAGCACCCCGACCCCCTGCACTCCTTCACTGACCCCCCTCCAGCACCCCAAAACCCCCTCCACCCCTTCACTGCCCCCTCCAGCACCCCCACCCCCCGAACCCCTTCACTGACCCCCTCCAGCACCCCGAACCCCCCGCACCTCTTCCCTGACCCCCCCCCAGCACCGCAACCGCCCTGCACTCCTTCACTGACCCCCCTCCAGCACCCCAAAATCCCCTCCACCCCTTCACTGCCCCTCCAGCACCCCACCCCCCCGAACCCCTTCACTGCCCCCTCCAGCACCCCGAACCCCCCGCACTTCTTCCCTGACCCCCCTCCAGCACCCCACCCCCCGAACCCCTTCACTGCCCCCTCCAGCACCCCGAACCCCCCGCACCTCTTCCCTGACCCCCCTCCAGCACCCCACCCCCCCGAACCCCTTCACTGCCCCCTCCAGCACCCCGAACCCCCCGCACCTCTTCCCTGACCACCCTCCAGCACCCCGACCCCCTGCACTCCTTCACTGACCCCCCTCCAGCACCCCAAAATCCCCTCCACCCCTTCACTGCCCCCTCCAGCACCCCAACCCCCTGCACTCCTTCACTGACCCCCCTCCAGCACCCCAAAACCCCCTCCACCCCTTCACTGCCCTCTCCAGCACCCCAAGCCCCCCGCACCTCTTCCCTGACCCCCCTCCAGCACCCCAAAACCCCCTGCACCCCTTCCCTGATCCCCTTCCAGCACCCCAAACCCCCCTGCATCCCTTCACCGACCCCCTCCAATACCCCAAACCCCCCTGCATCCCGCTGCCCCCTCCAGCACCCCCTGCAACCCTTCACTGATCCCTCCAGCACCCCAAACCCCCATGCACAAGAGGAACAGTGACATTTGGTGTGGAGGACATTAGAAATTATGAGCTATGTTATGTCCCCTAGCCCAGTGGCTCTCCACCTTTCCAGACGACTGTACCCCTTTCAGGAATCTGATTTGTCTTGCGTACCCCAAGTTTCACCTCACTCAAAAACAACTTGCTTACAAAACCAGACATTAAAAAAATAAGTGTCACAACACACTGTTACTGACAAATGGCTTGTTTTCTCATTTGGACCATGTAATTATAAAATAAATCAAGTGGAATATAAATATTGTACTGACATTTCAGTGGACAGTATCCAGAGCAGGATAACACATCATTGTCTGAAATTGTAGTTTGTACTGACTTACCTAGTGCTTTTTATGTCGCCTGTTGTAAAACTAGGCCACTATCTAGATGAGTTGATGCACCCTCTTTGTAGCTCACAAAAGCTTATGTTCTAATACATTTGTTAGTCTCTAAGGTGCCACAAGTCCTCCTGTTCTTCTTGTGGATACAGACTAACATGGTTGCTACTCTGAAACCTGTTAATAAGGAGTAATGGAAAGGAGTCCTGATGGGGATTGCCTGGAGACAGATTGCTAGTTGTTTCTTTGTCTACACCCAGAAGTTGCACTGCTTTAACTAACACCAGTTTTTAGACTGATTTAGTTAAACTGGTGCGAACCCCTGTCTAGACACACGTAAATCAGTTTATAACTGACTTACATGGATTTAGCCGAATTAAGCTCAGAATCAGCATTGCTAAATGGCAAGCTCAGCAGAGGAGCTCCTCCTCTTGACCCCTGGAAAATCGTAGGTCCTGGACGGAGCTGAGGTGCCAAAGGGAGAGAAATAGAGAGTAGCTGAGAGAAATAGCCTCTAGGAATGTCACTGCAGCACTTCTCCCCCGTGCTAAAATCATGCAATGCGTCCAAGTAAGGATGACTAAATAAGGGCAAT